GGAACATGCCCAAGAACTCGTTCGCCGGCTGGCCGGTCGCACGGCCCTGGTGAACATCATTCCCTACAACCCTGTAGATGGCCTTCCTTACCACCGCCCCAGCGACGAGGCCCTCAACCGCTTCGTCGCCATCCTCCGCGGGGCCGAAATCGAAGTCCAGGTCCGCAAGCGAAAAGGCGACGCCATCGACGCCGCCTGCGGCCAACTCCGCCGCTCGATGGGCAACACCCAAACCGTCTTCCAACTCCCCAGCGTCGACGTTTCCAGTAGTGCCTAAGTATTCGAGGCACTCCTAAAAACCTCTCAGGTGGGTGCCACTGCTGGCTTGCCCAGCAGTGCGGTCCGGCAGAAAAGATTGCAGGCAAGTCTACGGATTTGCCCAATAGTTATGGGCTCCTCACTGCCAGCATCAAGGCGATCTCGACTTCGCCAGCCCTTCGTCGGTACCCTCTCCGGCTGAACCATTCTCTCTCCCCCGGAAGACACCCGTGCTAGCACGTCTTGCCAGCCTGGGCGATGGACTTCCACCGCGTGAATCATGTCCCGACCCGATCGCTACTTCGACTGGCATCAGGTGCGCGAGTACGCCTCCCGCGTGCAGACCGCCGCCGACGGCCAACTGCGCCTGCGGGTCATCTTCACGGTCTTCGCTCTGCTCGTGCTGCTCATCTTCGGTCGCCTGGTGCAGCTCGAATGGAAGTACGGCGAGGCCTACCGCCAGGTAGCGGCCCAACCTCACGAACGCCGCACGGTGTTGCCTGCCCCGCGAGGAAGAATTCTCTCCCGCGACGGGGCGGTGCTGGCCATGGACGAACCCTGCATGGCGCTGGCCGTGCACTATCGCTACCTGCAACAACCGCTCGACGCCCGCTGGCTGCGCAACGCCGCCCGACGTCGACTCTCGCGCGAAGAACGTCGCGACTCCCAGCGTGTGGCCCAGGCCGAAAACGAAGTCCGCGTCGAAGTGGCCGAACTCCATCGCCGCTTGGCTCGCATGTGCGAACTCTCGCCCGAGCAGTGGACGGCCCGCACTTCGCGCATCGAGCGCCGCGTCGAGTCAATCGCCAAGTCGGTGAACGAACGTCATCAACGAGCCGTGGCCGAAGCCGCCGCCACGGAGACTCCACCGACCGACACGCTGAACCTCCCCTCTTGGCTGGCCGGCGGACACATCGAGCAGTGGCTCGCCAAGCTCACCCAATCGGTGCCCCCGGTTTCCAACGCCAACATCACGGTCGCCGAAGAACTCGACTTTCACATCGTCGCCGACGAAGTCCCGCTCGCCGTCGTGGCCGAAATTGAATCGCACCCGGAAGACTTCCAAGGCGTGCGACTGGTCCACCAGCGACTTCGAACCTATCCCTCGACCACGCTGGCCGCCCACGTCGTCGGGCATGTGGCCACCGCCACCGAAGAAGAACGGGCCGAATTCGACCTCGACAACGACGCGACACTCGAAGACGACCCACAGGTGGGAAGACTGGGCATCGAGCGACAATACGAATCGCTGCTTCGCGGAAAGCCAGGGCTGCAGACCGAATGGACTGACGCCTCGGGCAACGTGTTGGAACTCCGCAGCAAGACCGAAGCCGTGCCCGGCCGCGACCTGGTGCTAACTCTCGACGCCACGCTGCAACGCACCTGCGAGTCGCTGCTCGAATCGGCCCTGCGACGCCGACGCGGCAGCAATTCCGACGACGATCATCCCGCCGGCGGAGGTGCCATCGTCGTGATCGACGTTCGCACCGGCGAAGTGCTCGCCCTGGCTTCAGCCCCCACGTTCGACCCTAACGCCTTCGTCACCGGGGGCAGCGAAGCCGCACGATTGTTGAGCGACACGAACGCCCCACTCATCGATCGCCCCATCCAAATGGCCTTACCCCCAGGCTCGGTCTTCAAAGTTATCTCTTCCGCCGCCCTGTTAGCCGAAGGCGCAATCGACGCCCACCGGCCGTTCTTCTGCCAGGGCTATCTCGATCGCCCGGACCGCGAACGCTGCCAGATCTACATTCACCGCAGCGTAGGGCACGGCGAGACGACACTCAGCGATGCCCTGGTGCGAAGCTGCAACGTCTACTACTTCCACCACGCCACCGAAGTCCCCCCGGGCACCTTCGCCGATTGGGCCCACCGCTTCGGGCTCGGCTCGAAAACCCACATCGACTTGCCCTATGAATTCGCCGGGCAAGTTCCCGCGACTCGCCAGAAAGATGAATCCAACGACGACACCCAGCGCATTGCGGAAGCCAGAGCTCTAGTCATCGGGCAAAGCACACTCACCGCCACACCGCTGCAGATGGCCCGCGCGATTGCCGCCGTGGCCAACGACGGGCAGCTCGTCACGCCCCGCCTGGTCCGCTCGTTCGGCACATCGCATATCGAAGAAGAGGACGAACGCCTCTCGATCGCCAGCGCCCCATCGCCCGTGCACGTGGAAGGGCTCGACGCCTCGATTCTCTCAACGCTCCGGGGCGCCATGCGGTTAGTGGTGGCCGATCGCGAGGGCACGGCTCACGCCACCGTCGAGTTCGACGCCGTCTCCATCGCCGGCAAGACCGGCACTGCCCAGGCCGGCGGCCCACAAGAAGATCACGCCTGGTTCGTCGGCTACGCCCCCCACGAACGCCCGCGGGTCGCCTTCGCCGTCGTACTGGAACACGCCGGCAGCGGCTCCCTCGCCGCCGGCCCCGTAGCCCGCCGCGTCGTCGAACAACTCCACCGCCTCGGCTACGTCACGCCCAGAGGTCAACGACCAAGCGTGGCATCGAAGCCATCGCATAGTTCGGCCGCTACTACTCAAGAGTAGTTGTTCATCGAATGGCCAGGCGGCTACGGGTGTTCTATCGCCGAACTGTTGTCTCTACGTAGCTGCGCAGCCTAGGTCGCCAACGTCGGTTGATACTTTGCGTCACCAAAACCCAGGATGGGAAAGAAAATAAAGCCCAGGAACAACAGACCTAGAGCGAACCCGATCCCCTTCCCGAAATTCTTGGCGAAGTCAATCATAACAATGAAGCTGAAGATGATATTCACCAACGGGATCAGAAGCAGAATGATCCACCAAATCGGTCTGCCTGCAATCTCCAACATCAAAATCAAGTTGTAGATAGGAATAATTGACCCCCATCCAGGCTTACCCGCTTTTACAAATGTCTTCCATACACCGGCGAGAGCCACGATAACGACTGCCAGCCAAATAATCGCCGGAATGATCCCGCCAGCTCCGACGTCGTCCTGAGCAACTAGAAGAGCTTGATCGAGTTGATCCATGGTCAGATTCCCTTCAACCGGGCTTAAGAATAGTGAACTCCACTCACGAGACTCATTGCTGACTTGGCAGTCTGAAAGATCGCCCTTGCGCTCGTTGTTGTAGTCTTCTGGTTACTAAATTACTACACAACTTTGGTGCAGATTCGACTTCACCTGCCACATACACTGCGCCACCCCAGCAAAGATTGGGGGATCTCAAGCAACTCAGCACAGGGCAGTCCCTATCGCTAGTCTTCATCCTCATCCACATCCAACTGCGTCTCACCATTCTCCAGCTTCAAGCGCGTAGCCTGGCAGCCGGTGTGGTGGGCGATGCCTTCGGCGAGCTTCTCGGAATGCGTGACGATCCATAACTGCGACTCTTTGGCGGCCGCGGCAATGAGGCGACCGAGCGGATCGATCACGTCGGGATGCAGACTCATCTCTGGCTCGTTCAGCGCGATCAACCCCGGAGCGCGGGGGCTCAATAGCGCGGCAAGAAGATACAGATAGCGCAAGGTCCCGTCGGAAAGCTCTCGCGCATTCAGCGGACGCTGCATCCAAGGAACGTGAAGCTCAACGGCCATGCGACAATGATGATCGATGTCGATCGAAAGTCGGGCGCCGGGGATCAGTGCCTCAATCGCCTCATCGACTGCCGGATAGTTGCCAATCTCGAAGATCGTTTGAATCGCCGCCGCCAGGTCGCGCCCATCGGAACTGAGCAGCGGCGTCTGCACGCTAACCATCGGGCTGCGGGCCGCCGCGGTCGAATCGGTGGGGAAGTGGTGGAAGAACCGCCAGTTGTTCATTTCCAACCGCAACGCCGTAAGCTCGGGATAGAGATGCGGCTCACGAATCTGCGAAAGCGCCGATTCCGACTGCCGCATCATCACGGGATATTTCACCCGCCGTCCTTCAAGATCGCGGACATGGGCCGAAGGTCCTTTGCGCTCGAGCAACACCACCGGCCGCCCGGCCGCTGCCTGAAAGGAGACTTTCTCCGCCTTGATCTCCGGGTCGAGCTTGAAGGCAGTCTGTTCCTCCGGTGCAGAACCTGGCAGTCCAAAAGTCACTTCGTAATGAAGCTCATCAACCCGCACGGCCAGCGTCATCCGCACCGGCCCCTTGGTGCGCTGCCCCGCCCAAAGGACCGAGGGCATCCCGCCTTCTTCGGCCAAGGCACTGGCCAACCGCCCATTGGCCGCCTCGGCCAGCAGGTACATCGAGCGATACAGGTTGCTCTTCCCAGATCCATTTGGCCCCGTGATCACCGTCACGGGATTCAGATTCAGAAACATCCGCCGAATCGAGCGATACCCCAACACGTTGATCGAAGAGACGGGCACAGTCGGAGTTCCAGGCTACGTCGGCGAGGCAATCGGAAGGGGGACATTGTAACTCCCTCAGCTTCGCGCAACGCGCGCCCTGGCAGAGCATTCAACCCGAGGACCTAACCCGCGTGTTCGATGCTTGAATCCGTTGCAGGTCGATGTTGGGTGGCACGCCGCAGCGCTGGCCAATCGGCGAAGGCCAGGAAAAACAACAGCAGGATGTTCAGAATGGGAATTAAAGCGGCCAACCCAAACCAGCCGGGATAGCCGGCCTTCGCGCAGATCCGCCATATCGGGAGCACTATGATTCCGACTATCACGAAGATCAGCAGCAGCTCCGGTGGTCCCGGAACCTCTAATACTTTCGTGTGCATGTTCATGAGGCTAACCCCTTTGAGTTGGAACCGTGAGTGAGGAATGGCTCAACGCCGTTCACCCCCCGAGATGGTACCCGGTCGTCTCACACGTTGTTCGATTTGGGGGACAATTATTGCGATCTCACTCTCCGGGAAATTCAATTTCCCGTCCCGCCGACAGCCCACCGTCTTGCCACTTGGGCCCCAGGAAGATGCGATCGGAAAACGGGCCAAAAACCCGCGTATTTTCGTCCTTTTTCACCCCCCGATTTCCTCCCCGGCCCATTGAGAATTTGGGGCCAATTCGGTAAACTTAACCCTTTGACTTCAGAGAGCTTAACGCGCCTGGGCCTGGGGCGATTTTTCGTCGCCCGCTACGGACGAAACCACGGGCCCAACTACAAGCGGCGCAAGCCGTTTTGGCAATCGAAAGGACATCGCATTGGCGACCGATTCGGGCGGACCGGACGAACCTGAAGAACCCAACGCCGAGGGCGCTTCAGAAGGCACTCGTCTCAGCAACTTATCGATCGAAGACGAACTCAAGAGCAGCTATCTGACGTACGCCATGAGCGTGATCGTCAGTCGTGCGCTGCCCGACGCCCGCGATGGACTGAAGCCCTCGCAGCGCCGCATCTTGGTCGCCATGAACGACCTGGGCCTCACGCCCGGCTCGCGTCGTGTGAAGTGTGCCAAGATCTCCGGCGACACCAGCGGTAACTACCACCCGCACGGTGAAAGCGTCATCTACCCCACACTGGTCCGCATGGCCCAAGAATGGAACATGCGGCACACCCTCATCGATAAGCAGGGCAACTTCGGCTCCATCGCCGGTCTTCCGCCCGCGGCCATGCGGTATACCGAAGCCCGTGTGTCGCCGTACGCCGCGCTGATGCTGGAAGACTTGAAGCTCGACACGGTCGACTTCATCCCCACCTACGACGAAAGCCGCACCGAACCGACGGTGCTCCCTTCGAAGTTCCCCAACCTGTTGGTCAACGGTGCCAACGGTATCGCCGTGGGTATGGCCACCTCGATCCCGCCACATAACCTGGGCGAGATCTGCGACGGCCTGATCATGCTCATCGACGAGCCGGAGGTTTCCATCGACGAACTGATGGAAGTCATCCCCGGGCCCGACTTCCCCACCGGCGGCATTGTCTGCGGACGCAGCGGCATCCGTCGCGGTTATCACACCGGACGCAGCACCATCACCGTCCGCGCCCGGGCCACGATCGAAGAGTTCGGCAAGAACCGACATCGCATCGTCGTTTCCGAGATTCCCTTCCAGCAAGCCCGCGATCGCGTGGAAGAACGCATCGCCGCGCTGGTGCAAGAAGACCGCATCAAGGGCATCTCGGCCATTCGCAACGAAAGCGATTTGAAAGAGCCCGTGCGGCTAATCCTCGAGCTGAAGCGCGACGCCGATCCCGACATCGTGCTGAACCAGCTCTACCAGTTCTCGCCGCTGCAAGACTCCTTCTCCATCATCCTGCTGGCCCTGGTCGACGGCAAACCGCAGACGCTCACCCTCAAGGAAGCCCTGCTCGAGTTCCTCCGTCACCGCGTGACGGTAATCCGGCGACGCACCCAATTCCTGTTGGCCAAAGCCCGGCAGCGCAAGCACACGGTCGAAGGTCTACTGCTGGCGCACGCCAACATCGACGAAATCATCCGCATCATTCGCGCTTCTTCCACCCAGGAAGAAGCCAAAGAGCGTTTGATGGGCGTCGAGTGCCCGGCCGCCATGATGCGACGTGCTCTGGGTGAAGATGGATTCGCCGCGTTCGTCTCCGAGCGGGGCGAGCAAGACGTCTATACCCTCACCCCGGTGCAGGCCGACGCCATCCTGCGGATGACCCTCGGCCAGTTGGTCAACCTCGAACAAGAGAAGCTGGGCGACGAGTATCGCAAGCTGTTAGAAGAGATCGCCGAGTACGATCGCATCCTCTCCGACGACAAGAACATCCTGGCGATCATTCGCGAGGACCTTCTCGAGCTGAAGCGAAAACATGCCGATGCCCGTCGCACCGAAATCAGCGGCGAGGAAATCGGCTCCATCGACCTCGAAGACCTGATCACCGAAGAGTCGATGGTCGTCACCATCAGTCATCGCGGTTACATCAAACGCACCCCGGCCACCGCCTACCGCGCACAACGTCGCGGCGGCAAGGGGCTCAAAGGCGCCAAGACCGACGAAGAAGATCCCATCGAACATCTCTTCGCGGCCAGCACGCACGACTACCTGTTATTCTTCACCAACCGCGGCAAAGTCTACTGGCAGAAGGTCTACGACCTACCCCAACTCAGCCGCGACAGTCGCGGCCGCGCGCTGGTGAACCTGCTGCACTTCGAAGAAGGCGAGGAAGTGCAGGATTGCCGCGCGGTGCGCGACTTCAAATTGCCCGACCACTATTTGCTCATGGCCACCCGCAAGGGCCTGGTCAAAAAGACCAAGCTCGAAGCGTACAGTCGTCCCAAGCGGGGCGGCATCATCGCCATCAAGCTTCGCGAAGACGACGAGTTGGTCGATGTGGTGGTAACGCAGACCAACGACGAAGTGGTTCTGTCGACCGCCAACGGTATGGCCATCCGCTTCAAAGAGTCTGACGCCCGCCCCATGGGCCGCAATTCCAGCGGCGTGAAGGGCATCTCGTTAGGCAAGGGCGACGAACTGGTCGGCATGGTCGTGGCCGATCCCGAAGCCACGCTGCTCACCGCCTGCCAACACGGTTACGGCAAGCGAACCTACTTTGGCGTGTCGAGTGCCGCCGAGGCGGACGATGCGGCGGATACCGGCGCCGAGTCGGAAGCCACAGAAACCAACGGCGAAGACACCGCATCGGGGCAACGCTACCGCACCCAACGTCGCGGTGGAAAGGGACTTCGCGATATCAAAACCACCACCCGCAACGGGCCCGTGGTTGGGGTCGTTGCACTGCGGGACGACGACGAGTTGTTGATGATTACCACCGGTGGTAAGATCCAACGAGTACTCGCCAGCGACATCAGCATCATCGGGCGCAACACGCAGGGCGTTCGTATCATGAGCCTCGACGAGGGCGACGCCCTGGCTGCCGTGGTTCGCGTGCCTCGCGACGATGCCGATGCCGACGAGGCCCAGCCCGCTCCACCCGTGGAAGAGTAATCATCCGCGGAACCAACGGGCGAAGTTGTTAAGTCTCCTGTCGCGGTGGCTCCAAGTTAAGAGCGATGGCCACCCCGACATGCCGTGCACGTCGGACAGAGACCAATCCACCAGTATTCACCAGCCGTCGCAACGGGGTAGTTTCTTCAAAGCCCCCCGACCAGTTCATCGACTTCGGCGCCTTTGAGAAGTTGGTATGGAGCGGAGAGCCCTCATCACCGGAATCACGGGGCAGGATGGCTCCTACCTGGCCGAGTTCCTCTTGGCCTCCGGCTACGAAGTGCATGGCATCGTCCGCCGCTCGAGCACCGAGGCCTCCGAGCGAATCGATCACATCGCCGATCAACTCGTGCTCCATCAGGCCGACCTGCTCGATCAACTCTCGCTCGTCCGCGTGCTTGAAGAAACCCGACCGACGGAAATCTACAACTTGGCGGCCCAAAGCTTTGTGGCCACCAGTTGGGAACAACCGCTCCTCACCGGCGAGGTCACCGCGCTGGGCGTCACTCGCATGCTCGAGGCCATTCGCCTGGTCGATCCTTCGATCCGCTTCTACCAGGCCAGCAGCAGCGAGATGTTCGGCCGCGTGCAAGAAGAACCGCAAACCGAGCGAACCGCCTTCTGGCCCCGCAGCCCTTACGGAGTGGCCAAAACTTACGGCCACTGGATCACCGTAAACTACCGCGAAAGCTTCAACCTCTTTGCCTGCTCGGGCATTCTGTTCAATCACGAATCGCCCCGGCGTGGAAAAGAGTTCGTCACCCGCAAGGTCACCGACGCCGCGGCCCGCATCAAACTCGGCAAACAGAAGACCCTCAAGCTCGGCAATCTAGAAGCCCTGCGCGATTGGGGCTTCGCCGGCGATTACGTCAAAGCCATGTGGTTGATGCTGCAGCAAGACGAACCGCAAGATTACGTCGTCGGCACCGGCATCAAACACTCGGTTCGCGATCTGGTACTGCTGGCGTTCGATCGGGTGGGCCTCGACCCCACGGAATACATCGAGATTGATCCCGCCCTGTTACGCCCGGCCGAAGTTTCAACCCTCTGCGGCGATAGCAGCAAAGCCCGAGCCCAACTCGGTTGGACCCCCTCGGTCAACTTCGAACAGATGATCGCCATGATGGTCGATGCCGACTTGGAACGAGTGCAACGCGAAATAGCGATTGAATCGAGATGAAAACCCTCGTCACCGGAGTGACAGGCTTCGCCGGCCCCTATCTTGCCGAGCACTTGCTCGATGCGGGCGACCACGTTGTGGGTACATCTCGTAGCGGCGCCTGGACGAAAGCCACCCCGCAAAGAGTCCGCGACAATGTCTCGCTCCTCCAATGGGATATTGGCGACCCCGCCCAACCCAGCCCCCAGGTAATCGAGCAAATCCGCGCCGCCGCGCCCGATTGGATCTTTCATCTGGCCGCGCTTAGTGTTCCCCGCGAGTGCGGGCGCGATACCCCCACCGAACAAGCCACCGCGGTGAACATCGACGGCACCGCGCGGGTGCTCGATCTGGCAGCCAAGCTAGGCGGCAACACCCGTGTGCTGTTCATCAGTAGCAGCCACGTTTACGCCCCGCTTACAGAAAAATCGCCCCCGCTCAGCGAAGATGCCCCGCTGGCACCTCGCTCGGCCTACGGCAAAACCAAACTCGAGGCCGAATCTCTGGTGACGGCCGCCGGCTCGAAGGGGCTCGACACCATCACCATTCGCGCCTTCCAGCACACGGGGCCCCGGCAAAGCACGCAGATGATGCTCCCCGAGTGGGCCGACCAGTTCGCCAGCTCTTCGACCGATCCGATCAAAGCCTACAACTGCGACACGTGGATCGACCTGACCGACGTTCGCGACGTGGTCCGTGCCTATCGCCTGCTGGCCGAACGGGGCACCCCGGGCGAAACCTATAATGTAGGGTCGGGCACCTGCCGCCGGACGGGCGATATCTTGAAGATCCTGCAAGACATGGCAGGCCCCAATCGAGAGATCGAAGAGCTGAAGCCCGGAGTGCACTACGACCCCGTGGCCAACATCGATCGGCTCGTTCGCACCACCGGATGGCAGCCAGATTTCAGCTTGGAACAAACCGTGGCCGACACCTGGGCATACTTCAAGGGGCTGCACGAGCACACTTCGCAGTAGTCATCCTCACAAGGGCGGTCACGTGAAAATCACCATCGTCGGAACCGGCTACGTCGGCCTGGTCACTGGAACCTGCTTCGCCGAAACCGGCAACGATGTGATCTGTGTCGACATCGACGCCAACAAAGTCGCCATGCTCAGCCGCGGCGAGATCCCCATCTATGAGCCCGGCCTCGGCGAAATGGTTGAGCGCAACACCCAATTGGGCCGCTTACGTTTCACCACCGACCTGGCCACCGCCTGCAACGATGCCGACCTGCTGTACCTGGCCGTGGGCACTCCCAGCGCCGACGACGGAACCGCCGATCTCTCGAATCTGTGGGCCGTCGTCGAACAGGCCGCCCCGCACATCGGCCCTAAAGCCATCGTGGTCATCAAAAGCACCGTGCCCGTGGGTACCAACGCCGGCGCCGCTTCCCGCTTCAAAGAACTCACCGGCCGCGAAGTCGACGTGGCCAGCAATCCCGAGTTCCTCAAAGAGGGCGCAGCCATCGACGATTGCATGAAGCCCGACCGCGTCGTGGTCGGCTGCCGTCGCGCGGAAGTCGGCGAGAAGCTCCGCGAGTTGTACGCGCCGTTTCTGCGAACCGAAAAACCTTTCCTGGTCATGTCACCCGAGAGCGCCGAGATGACCAAGTACGTGGCCAACGCCATGCTGGCCACCAAGATCAGCTTCATCAACGAAATGGCCAACCTGTGCGAGCTGATGGCCGCCGACATCGACGACGTTCGTCGCGGCATCGGGCACGACGCCCGTATCGGCTTCTCATTCTTGTTCCCCGGCGTCGGCTACGGCGGAAGCTGCTTTCCGAAAGACGTTCGCGCACTCCGCTCGATGGCCACCGCGCTGGGGGTCGACCCCCGCATGCTCACGGCCGTCGAAGAAGTGAACGACAACCAGAAGTGCATCGTCACGCAGAAGCTCAAGAAGCACTTCAAAGATGACCTGGCCGGCAAGACAATCGCCGTGTGGGGGCTCGCCTTCAAGCCCCGCACCGACGACATCCGCGAGGCACCCGCCCTCACGCTCATCGACCAGATGCTCGCCGCCGGCGCCCGCCTGCAAGTGCACGACCCCGAGGCAGCCGCCAACGTGAAGGCCATCTACGGCGACAAGCTCAGCTACGGCGAGAACCCCTACGACGCACTGCCGGGCGCCGACGCGCTGGCAGTGATGACGGAGTGGAAAGAGTACGTCCACGTCGACCTAGCCCGGGTGGCCCACTTGATGAACACCCCTGTGGTCTTCGATGGACGCAACGTCTACTCTCGCGCCCGCATGCACGAGGCCGGCTTCACCTATTACGGCATTGGTCGTAGCCCCGTGTTGCCTGCCTGAAACGGCCATCCGCTAGCTGCCCGGTTTGCGCTCCATCTGGCACACCCACCGCACAGCTAGCGGGGCAACCCGCACGCGGCGTCACCCGCCGCCGTTGCCGCAATACAGGTCGAGGTCCACATTCAGTGCGGCCTCCAGGAGCTTAGTTTCGGCCCTTTCGTTGGCCTCCAACTCGTTGAGCAGGTCGGTGATTTCCGCGGCTAGCAGACGACGGTTTTCGCCGTTGCCCTGCATTTGCTGCAGCTCACCCACGATGCGCCCGACGCGACGGACCAGGGCAGCCCGTTGCCTTCGCAAGTGCTCAGCCTCGCGTCCAAATCGCGGTGCGGCCGAAACCGCATCTTCCATATATCCGCATTTGTACTGGTCCAATTGTTGTTCCAGTGCACGTTGCAGATGCACAAGTCGGGCTTCTAGACCAATCGAGCGAAACTGTCTCGACTCCTGTTGGCATGCACGGCGCACCGTCCGCACCAAGCGGTCAATCTGCGCGTGATCGAGACGTATCTGCTCTTTAAAGCATTGCCATTGGTCGGTGAACATGACATCACCCTCACTTCCCGCCGTCGCGACGTGGCCGCCGCCCGGCAACCCACCGGCGGCAGCCACATCCATTCGCGGCTAACCCGGTAGGTAAAAAGAGCAAGAGACGTGCCAGAGCGAAAAATTGCGGCACCGCTCCCACGGCAGCCTCGCTAACGCCACCCGATTGCAGCGGTAGATCCGCGCGGAAGGTTTGTACTGCCCCGTGGCGAAGAACCTGCGCGAACTCAGAAATTCAGGCTTAACTGCGAGGTGGCATCTACCGATTTCCCACCGCCCACCCCGGCAGCCCCACATTCAGTGGAGATAGTTGAGTTCAACCGGCCACAAGCCGTGTGCGAAAAACTACGCTCTCCGGCGGCCTTCTCGGCGGCGGTCGGCTTCGCTCAGCAGAATCTTGCGGAGCCGAATCTTGGTCGGCGTCACTTCGGCCAGCTCATCTTCCGCGATGTATTCCAATGCGGTTTCAAGAGTCAACTGTCGCGGGGGCTTCAACAGAATGTTGCGGTCGCTACCCGATGCCCGCATGTTCGTCAGCTTCTTTTCCTTGCTCGGGTTCACGACCATGTCGTTCCCACGGCTGTTCTCACCGACGATCATCCCCTCGTAAATCTCATCGCCGGGCCCCACGAATAACTCGGCCCGATCTTGCAAGCCATCGAGCCCGAAAGCCACCGCCTTACCACCGGTCATCGACACCAACACGCCGTTGGCCCGCTGTTCGATCTCGCCCTCCAACGGGCGATACGATTCGAACCGGTGATGGATGATCGCCTGACCCTGCGTGGCATTCAGTAGTCGCGTTCGCAATCCAATCAGCCCTCGGGCGGGAATCGAAAACACCAGGTGCGTGAAGTTACCGCGCGTTGTCACGTCGATGGTCTGCCCTCGCCGAGCCCCAACCAACTCCATCACCGGGCCGGTCTGCTCAGGCGGAACTTCGACCACCAACGTCTCGAACGGTTCTTCGTGCACGCCGTCGCGCACTCGGGTGATCACTCGCGGCTTGCCAATCGCCAATTCGTACCCTTCGCGGCGCATCGTTTCGATCAACACCGAAAGATGCAACAGCCCCCGGCCCGAAACGGCGAACGACTCGGTGCCTTCAATCGGGGCAACCCGCAACGCCACATTGCGTTCCAGTTCCTTGATCAACCGATCGCGAAGATTACGCGAGGTGACATACTTCCCTTCGCGGCCCACCAGCGGTGAGGTGTTCGTGCGAAACACCATCTCGATGGTCGGCGGGTCGACATCCAACCGCGGTAGCGGACGCTCGGCTTCCACATCGCAAATCGTGTCGCCGATCTCCACCTTCTCCAAACCGACGAGCGCTACAATATCGCCGGCCGAAGCCGTATCCACTTCGGCACGCCCCAGCTTGTCGAACACATAAAGCTGCGTGATCTTCTCCTGTCGGGTTGCATCCCGCCCGATCATCGCCACCTGCTGACCGCGCGTGATACTGCCGGCCATAATCCGACCCACGGCGATCCGGCCCACGTACTCCGACCAGTCGAGCGTGGTCACCAGCATCTGCAGCGGTTCTTCGGCTTCAACCTCGGGGCCGGGAATGTGCTCCACCACCAAGTCCAACAATGGATGAATCGAATCGCCCGGCACCTCGGGGTCTTCGGTCGCAAACCCATCACGGGCACTGGCGAAGATGTACGGAAAGTCCAACTCCTCGTCGTCGATGCCCAAGTCGATGAACAGGTCGAGCACCTCATCCACCACCTCGTGCGGGCGAGCCTCCGGCCGGTCGATCTTATTCACCACCACGATCGGCTTCAGCTTGCACTCCAGGGCCTTCGACAACACAAACCGCGTCTGCGGCATCGGGCCCTCGGCCGCATCGACCAGCACCAACGCACCGTCGGCCATGCGCAGCACCCGTTCGACCTCGCCACCAAAGTCGGCGTGGCCCGGGGTGTCGATAATGTTGATCTTCCGCCCGGCGTAGGGCAGGGCGATGTTCTTAGCCAGAATGGTAATGCCCCGTTCGCGCTCCAGCTCGTTGGAGTCGAGGATGCAGTCCCCGCGGAGTTGGCTCTCGCGGAACTCGCCGCTCTGCCGCAACAGGCAATCGACCAGCGTGGTCTTACCGTGGTCAACGTGGGCAATAATCGCAATGTTGCGTACGTCGTCGCGTCGCATGGGGGGTCTCGATTCCGGGAAGAAACTGCCAGAGCCGCGGCTGGCTACTCAGCGTGCCAGCCTCAAATGCCAGCACAACGGCCGGCGGCAAGGCGAGATCCCGACGGCTTCCTACCGCTGGGGATCATTGCATGGCGGGTTGATCCCCCAATCTTATCACCCAAGCCCCATTTCGAGTAGGCGGGTCCGCCCCGGATTCTTCGAGCCTCCAACCTCAGAAAACCCCTTCTGCATGCACTCCCATAATCCAATCTTCACGCTCCGAGAGGCTGAAGCCCTCTTTCTGGCGGGTGGATCGCGCCGAGCCGATCAACCTCACCATCCCCAACCCAACGAAAACCCCTTCCTGTAGGGAACGCCCTCCGTGGCGTTCCGAAAATCGCCGCAACCCACAGAACGCCACAGAGGGCGTTCCCTACAGCAGCCTGAAGACCAAACACCGCCGATCGGCAGGCCGCGATCCTCCTCACAACTCCTCATCACAATGGCCCGCCACCTTTTTGGCAACTAAACTAGCGTTCGTGTGAAACTCAACATCCAGTACGCCGTTCTCCCCGCGGCATCATTCCCCCCAACCAGGATCATCACCCCATGCCTGCTATCGTCGGCTCAACAACTCGCCGCCTGTTGCTTCTGACTTTCGCCACTCTGTTGGTTGCCACGCTTCGCTCCGCCACGGCCGACGAACCTTCTTCCGAGAACAACGAAACAGCCAACCTGAAGGTCATCAGCTACAACGTCCAGTTCCTCCCCGGGCCGGCGGCGATTGCCAACAATCGGAAGAACCCCCGGTACCGCGCCGAGACCATCGGCAAGAAAATGACCGAGTTCGATATCGTCGGCCTCAACGAAGTGTTCGACGACGCGCCCCGCGAGTTGCTGCTCGATCAAATGCGGGAAGCCTGGGGCGACAACTTCCACGTAGTCACCGGGCCCATCCCCGACGACAACCGCGTGAACGGAGGCCTGGCCATCGCCACACGGCTACCGATGATCGAGTCGCACAGCACCATCTACACCAAGTCGAGCGACCCCAAGAAGTACGGCCTCCGCGCCGACGGCTTCGCCGCCAAGGGCGTTCTGCACGCCCGCATCCTCCGCAGCAAAGACGCCGATCCCGACGACTACGTCGATGTGTTCACCACGCACATGGAAGCCCGCGTGGACGAGATCCGCCTCGAGCAATACCCCGAGCTGGCCGTGTTCATCGCCCAGCACTCCGACGTGAATCACCCCATCATCGTGATGGGCGACTTCAACACCCGCGGCGAACCCGAGTACCGCGACGACCCCAAAGCCGCGTACCACTTACTAATCGCCGCCCTGGAAGAGAACCTGCCCACGTACAAGCTCATCGACGCCTGGCCCTCGATGTATCCCGACAAGTTCGGCGGCACGAACGAACAAGAGTCCAGCGACATCGGCCACCGCATCGACTACGTCTTCCTCGCCAACCCCAACCAAGACGCCGTCAGCCGCATGAAGCTCATCAACATCCACATCAACGGCTACCTCGACCCCAAAGTAGTCGCCCTCTCCGACCACTCCGCCGTGGAGGCCGATCTATATTGGTCGCCGTTTAAGATGTGAACGAGAGCTAATGGCGTTCGGAAGAAGTGCTAACGAACGGGTGCAACTGGCACTAGCCCAGAAAAGAATACTTCTATGCGATTCGTTCTTTTAGCTTGGCCAATCATATCCTTTCTCATCCTAGTTCTTCTCGCTCTACAAGCTGAGTATGGAACACGCGGGCCCCAGGGCGAATATCAAATTGATATGTCTGATCCTCTCTGGCTCGTTCTAACCGGAGGTCTCGGCCTATCAGCAGCAGTCGCATTAAAACTCCTGCTGTTTGTGTTCAAAAGAGAGAGGCTCAACGCCCCCCCGAACTGAACAATACCTACTCTCGATTTTCGACCTCGACCAACAGCAACCGTAGGTCATGCATGACGAATAGTTTCCCAGCTACACATCCAACTCTACATGCTAATGCCCCTCCACCTACGCGAACCCGGCCCACTGCTTACGCTCGATGACCTGCGGGCATTCGAGTTCGAACTCGGTGGCCAATTGCCGGACGACTACAAACAGTTCTTGCTTCACCAAAATGGTGGTGTGTGTGATCCCGCTGTTGGATTCGAGTGGCGCGGCAGAGTAAGAGAAATTATGGCCTTCAAAAAACTGGAGCTTGACGCGGAGCATGGCCTGCGGCGGGCAACGCGGGAACTTTTCGAAATTGGTTGCCACGGCTATTTGCCGATCGCCAGCGACATGAACCAACAGCACACCTGCGTGCGGTT